TTTCTTAAAAATAGCAAGTAATTATAGTCATATTAATTGTTCATATTAGTAATTAATTATTTTTCTTATATAACTTATATAATAATATCAGATAAACTATATTTACCTATACGAGTTTAGGCGACACGCGACATAGCGAGAGTGTACGCTCGAAACTTCGTAATCCCATCGATAAGGAAACCATTATAATTGTATATAATTGTAACTTGTACTGTAGTATTTTATTTTTATAGTTTCTAGGTATTCGGGTATTTCGATATCATTATCTAAATATTCCGATATCATCATTCTCAGATTATTTACAGAATATTTTTCGTTAACATTTTGTAATCGTTTCCGATTTTTCGAACTGTATGCATGCTAGTTCGTTTCGTGAATTCAGTATCTAAATTTTATTTTTTAATAATAGAAGCTAAAATAATAAAATAATATAATAAATAATAATAATTTTTGTATACAAACGTTTTTTTTGCATATTTTAGTATTTTTAGTGTATATTTAAGCGCTTATATGAACACTTTTTAGAGCATATTTAAGCGCTTATATAATAACCTTTTTTAGAGCTATAAGTTATGAGACCTGATAATAATAATAATAATAATAAAATGTGATTGTTAGTAAAGTGATGGTTGGGCTTCCATATTTTCGCATAACATATTTATGTGAAATGTGATATTTGAAATTGAAACAAGCAAATTCGCTTCTAAAGACTGCTTTGAAATGCATGATCTATGTTTGTTTTTTTATAACTTGAAGTTGTGAAAATGGTGTGTCACAAAAATATGTCGATGCGAAAGACATTAATATAAGTAAAGCGGCTTTCAAAATTACTGGATTCTCTTGCTGTCGTTTTAACCAAAATTCAGTAAATTCTTTTTCATTAAATTAGGTTTCAAGAATGGAGTCTTCTCTAATTTCAATTAATTGCTCTTTTGCGGTCCATGAAATATGATCGTATTTCAAAGAAATAGAAAATGATCTTTTTACCAAATCGTGTTCATTATATATTATATAATAATTAAATAACCGAAAATATTTTAAATGAAATAAATATTTCACGTCCCCTCACAGTCATATAACCTTGGTCCCCAGTTTGAGAAGCACTGTCGTAATGGACACGCGTAGCAATTGCAATTCGTCGTTGATTGCGCATCCACGAGGCATATTATATTTTTCACTCGATTTATTTCCACGCTCAAAAATAATTCGACCGTACACACGATAACATGCTTATAACATTATTTAAAATGGTACCTAACTGTTATAACAACTTGTTTATAGGCTTCTAAATAATAATTATGTCTACACATACGCTATAGGTATATATTATACATACTATAGCGGCGTATATTGGAGTAATCTTGTATTCGGAGGAAACGGTCAGCTGCTGACTAATTTCTGATGCTTCGAACTGCTCGGGGTCCGGATTTTCAGACTTGTATGACGTGTATATTGTAAAATTGTCTAATGATATATATGTACAAACAGGACCTAAATAAACGTAGACGACTTGTCTTAGACCATCAAAATCATAATACTTCTAGCCACGCATATAATAATTACATATTATTCAATTTCGAATAATTAGGTTCATCGCATTGCATCGGGTGCGTATAGTAATATATATTTATATTACGGTACAGGTGGACAAATCAGTCATTATAATACAATGCCTAGTTATTGAATACAACTCTAAAACTGATGTGGGCAATGTGAATATTAGAGTATTAGAGTGATATATTTTATAATTTATTTTAAGCACTGCTTCCTACGGGTTACAATAATTTTTATCAGTAGATAAAAATAATAGATACAAAATAAATAATTAATAAAAATAAAATATTCTCCTTTTTTTGTTAAAAATAAATTTATACAAGATAATATTATATGTATTTTGTTAACTTGGCACTTTTAGTACCGGCAATTGTATACAACGTCTAGTTTAAGTGAATAATTATCTACATTGCTTGAATAAATCGGACATTGCAAACTTTGTCCGGTCAATGTTTACAATGACCATTTATCCACTTGCACCGTAACATATGTATATATCATATACTACTATCGTCTCGACGCACTTTTGTATTCCGTTCCTACATAGATAAATGTAATACTTTTGCGGGATATAAAGAGTAGATTTCGGATCTATAACAAGTATTATTTACTACTAACGAATATAAAGACATAGGTAAACTCTATGCTCGTTCAACGCGTAGACGAATACTAATAATCAATGTACAGGTACAGGCTGTTTCACTTCAAACCGTTAATTTAAAATCTAATAAAATAAAATTAAACAACTACCTCGACCCTTGGCGAATCCAACTGTACATCCTGAACACAACTAGTTTTTTTTTTTTTTTTTAATGCATGTCCGTATAAATAGTATCCGTTTAAAATATATTTTCGTATTTTATGTCCGTGTGCAAAGCCTACGCGTCGTAAAAGATTATAGGAGAAAGATCAGAAAGATATATCATTAAATTGCTTATTGTGTCTATTACTATATGTTATATTTATTACTAAATAAAATAATAATAATACTATCAAAACGTATCCTAAACAAAAACAATAACATGTATGAACTACCAAGTAAATATTAATAACTATTATTTCCATTATTTAGAGTTATTAAAGAAGTTAATGGTTAGTTAATGGTTTTACAATGATGTTAATTTTTATTTTTGGTTGATCATTTTAGAACACTACAATTGATCTAATAAAAATATTGTTGTTGATGGTCAGATTTTTTAGAGAAAGATAGAGATCCCCGGAAGCTATTTTTTCGTTTTATAATATTTTACAATTACTGGTATATTTTATTTTATTTATTTATTAACATTTTTACGGGACAAGCCCTTTAACAAAGAAGATATAAAGTAATCTAGACATCCAAAAACATAAGAAAATAATAATTATACAGGTACAATATAAGTTTTGGTTAAAATTAAATGGTATGATATTCAAATTTTATAATATGAGAAAAAAAAAATATATATAATAATAATAATAATGTTTTTAACTTGAAAATAAAGACAAAGCTTTCATTCTAATACAATCACGAGACATAAAAAAAAAATCAACATCATTACGAATTAGGTTGCATAACGTAAGCGCTCTCGGAAAAAAAAGAATCGGTACAAATTTTTTTTTTAAAAAAGGGGACAAAAAATAAACTTGAGCTTCTAATTGAATAGTTATGAGTTACAATACCAATCTTACTTAACAATTCGGGACAATTAATATTATTATTTAGGAGATCATAAATAAATAATAAATCAGATATCTTACGTCTAACTTCGCATGGCTGAATACAAATTGAGTGTCTTACTAATGAGCTTGAATCTCTGGAGATCGGTAAATTTAAGCGAAAAGCAATTGATTTTAGGAATTTATATTGAACATTGTCAACCAGTTGAACGGTCGAATTTTGACTCCATATCAATGATCCAAATTCTAAGTTAGATCTAACAAGGGAGCAATAGAGGGTTTTTAGTACTTGAATATTTTTAAATTCTTTAGTATTTCTTAATATAAAACCAAGCATTTTAAATGCTTTATTGATAACTATGTTAATATTAGAAGTAAAAGACAAATTGGAGGAAAAAAAGTACACCTAAATCTCTAATTGAGTCCACTCGGTTAATAATAATATTATTAATCTTATAATTGAAAACTAAAGGATATTTTTTTTTAGTAAAAGAAATAACATTGCATTTATTAATATTTACTGGTAATAAATTTTCGTGACACCATGTGGAAAACCTATCTAAATTCTCTTGGAGAATAATTACATCATCCTGATTATTAATAATTGAGTAAAATTTAGTGTCATCAGCAAACATTAACACATTAACTGACGAATTAAAAAACAGATGGTAGATCATTAATAAAAAGAGTGAATAATAAAGGCCCCAAATGCGAACCTTGTGGAACTCCAGAGCAAACATGAATAACTTCTGAAAAAGAATGTAACAGTTTTACTGACTGGGTTCTATTAGTTATGTATGAATTTAACCATTTAAGGAAATTGCCGTGCAAACCAAAACTTTGAAGTTTAGATATAAGTAAATTATGGTTTATTCTATCAAAAGCTTTACTGAAATCAGTATAAACTGTATCAATTTGACATTATTATAACTTTATTGTATTTTATGAATGTTTAAATTTTTTAAAACTATTTTACTTATTTTGATTACAATTAAAAATAATTGCAATTTGTTAAAAGATAAATCAGTAAGTAGATATCCACCCCGCGGGAAAAATATTAAATTAGCCATTTTTTATGTCAAAATAGTTTTTTATCGTGTAAAATATCTATGAAATAGATGATATTAAAAATGTAAATTTCATTTTTTATTATAAATGTATGTGATACACGATATTTTTAGCAAACGTAATAATAATTAATAATATAAAATAAAACAACTCTGTTTTGAATTGTTTTTAAAATTCACTAACATCCACGTTTAAATTCTTCACACAGAAGCATATCCAATCTAATTCTCTGTTAGACCTTAAATACACCATACTATTTAATATTTTTTTATTCTTTCTTTCGTAGTATAATAATTCTAATGTTAACAAAATTAATATTCAACGTACGAATGAAAGAAAATAATATTACCATATGTCATAAACTCAAGAATGACTATATAATTATATTATTAGTTATTGTATTTCATTTTTCAATTCATAGATTGGTTGAATGATGAACACTTTTCTTCATTTTTCTCCATCCCGAGTGATATCCTTCAATTATCTTCTTTGAACCTTTTCCTGGGTTTAGACATGGGTCCATAGTTTATTTCGAATATGACTGACAGTAGTTCTTCTTTTTCCTGACACCCCTTCGATTTTTCCCACAACTATAGTCGTTGTACATATATTTTTTCTAATTAAATGTCTCATCCTCTTATTTCCTCTTTATATCTCCTCATTATGAACCCGTCAAAGAAATTTATATAATACTAAACGATAGACGTGTCATTTCATTTCAGCGTACGACTTCACCGGTAGGCAACAATATTATATAAATCGACCACCTAGACAAACCACACGAGATTCTTTCCATTTTCCTACGTCCGATAATCATAATGATGGTCAAGCCGAGTACAGTGACATCACCTACCCAGAAGGTAGGCACGTTAAATCGGGCAGACGTGCCAAGCTACCGTCAGAGTTCCAAGAAACTGTACCCGGGGAACAGACTGAATATCCGCCCGTCCCGGTCGGGTCGGAAGAAGCTAGATATTTATCACCACAAGCCATAGCCAAAATTTCGGAAACCCTTGGCGCTATCAACACCGTGGGTAGGTATCTGGTTAATTACACGAGGGGAACAACAGACGATAGGCTTGACAGTCCGCAGAATAATCCAGTAAGTAAGTACATCTTTGTAGCGAATATAATATATTATTATTATTATTATTATCATCATTATTATTATTATTACTATGTACACTTTTGATTCAAAATTAATGTAGACCATTAACCTGCTATAGAACGATCCAAATTTGGCGTCATCCCGTTTTTGATCACTGAAATAAATTTGTTTCCAAAAAAATAACAATGATTATTCATTCTGTTGCTGACAATCATCGTTTACATTTAAAATTTCTAGTTACTGCCGAGGTGATTTTTGCAGTATCGTTCCAACGTTTTAAAATTTCAAACGATTTAATTTTTCGAAACCCGATGTTTTAAAATTCATCTAATGACACAATTGTCATCGTATTCAATGTAATGACATGCGTTAATCGATATGGTTAAAAATGTCGAAGCGAAAATTTGATTATTGATTAAAAGAAAAATGTAATAAACAGAAAAAAAAACATATTACACCCAATTGATTCCCGTGCGTACTACATTATAATATTGCTATAATATAGTTTACGAATTTACTGATGTAGGAGAAGGTTTGCAGAAACAAGGTGACCTACCATCGGCCATATTCACCATCAGTAAGAACGTGCTCGGTCGAAACGTGACTGACATGGTAGTTAAGCCTCTTGTGAGCCTGGGCTCTGGCAAAGTGGTGTCGCAGGACAATAGACCGTGCTCCACGCCGGACGGTGCTCAGGGCAACTGCGAAGACCTTAGTAACTGTCCGCAGCTGTTGCTCAACTTAGGTCATCTTAGACAATCGATATGCTTTAAGAATCTATTTGTGCCAGGCGTGTGCTGCCCGAAAAAGACATCCGAACAACAGTGAGTAAACTTATTTATTATAAAATATCATCTATTCCGTATTATTATTATTTTTTTCAATTGGATTACAATACGAAATCGGGCCGCCGCCCGTTTCGATACAAACATTATTTCTGGCCGTTTATTATGTGCAACACAAAACGTAATAAAATACAATCAAGTGTATTGTATACGCAATATAATTGTATACTTTTTCGATAACTCTACAGTGATTAAAAATACTGTAAACCAATTTGAGCTCGTATTGGCTTCAATGGTACAATGGTACACGAAATGTAAGTGTTGGCACCTACTTACTATAAAGTAGGTTTAGAAAAATATTTGTTTTTCTCAATTTGATGATGTTTTTCAAATCATTATTCATCCACTTAAAATATCAAATATATAAACCTAAACCTAAATAAAACAATAGTTTTAATAATGGTCACTATCATACTTTTGACATTTAATTTTTATATTGCTTAATACATTTACATTTTATGAAACATATTAATTCAAATCCAATAATTTAATGAATAATTATAGTATTCAATATATATATGCTACACATAGTTTAACCATAAAATCAAAAATATATTGCACACATAAATCTTTTGATATTTGCACACAATGATTAAAAATACTGAAAATAAATTTAAACTTGTATTGCTGTGATACAACTAGTGATGGGCAAATACTCGGTAAATATAATTTCAGTTAAAATTCGGGTATTTACCCGATAAATTGGATAAATTTATTTTTAAATCTAAAATCAATCCATGGAAATCACAATACTTTTTTATGATTGTTTCCCGATTTTTTCATGTTTTTCCAAGACTGATGATTAGAGTATATAAATTATATTTATGAATTTTTGATTAATTTTATTCACTTTGGAAAATTTGAATATTTTATCATAGAAATTACATAGTACACTTTTATTGTCTTCACCGCGATGGTAATGCTTCCACACAGGATCTTTTACCCGACCCATGACTAAAAAATCTATTACTAAACTAAATAACATTTGACAAAAGAACTTGTATTGATCAGTTAATAGTAGTATAAATTGTAGCATTATTATAGAATAAATCTATTCTATAATCAATAGTTGTAGTATCAGTTATATGATATCGATACCTATCAGTAGTAAAAATAGAAATATATAGTTTGACCAGATTAAAAAAATATATATTTACCCAAATTTGTGGTAGGTAAATATTATAGTGGGTAAACACCCGATAAATATCCAAAATATTTTTCTACCCGACGGGTATTTACCTACGGCACATCAGTAGGTACAACGGAACATAAAATGTACGAAGTAGGTTTAGAAAAATACAAATATTTTATTCTCGATTTAATGATGTTTTGCATATTATTATTTATCAACTTAAAATAACTCAACTATAAAATCGAATTTGACTGAAAAAAAATAATAATAATAATAATATTAATCATGGCAATATTATAAATTTTTGACATTTAACTTTCGCGCATAGGGGCGGTGGGAGGTTTTACGGGACCTGAGAAGATTTTATTACGGGGCCCGTGAAATTTTTTTCGTGAAGCCTAAAAATATTTTATTGAACGCTCTAGTACTCGAATACCATATTTTTCTATTATACATAAATTATGTAAAAAATTTTTTTTATCTGTATGGATTTTATATTTTATCATCAAAGCGTCAACAATATATTATTATTATACTATTTATACTACAATAAAGACACTTACTAAACATAATATTGAAGTTAAAGATTAAAATACCATGTACATTTTCACGTGATAGGGAGAACTGTTATTTACTTTTAAAAACGATATTATATGGTAGGCTTATAAATTGTTTATTTCCATGAAAAGCGCGGGGCCATGGGCAGCTGTCCCTTCTGCCTGCCATTCCACCGGTGCTGTTCACGCAGATGAATTTGTATTCGATAAAACGTATTAATTCAATCCAATTTGTTAAGACAATATTTATAGTATATTCAATACAGTAATAATATAATATAGTGTATTCAATATATCGTATGAATAGCTATTATAAATATCAATGCGATTTTTGACCAAAAATTATTATTTCCCTATCAACCGCCTTATACTGTACAGTAATGATTAACAATTATTATTCGCGTATCACAGAGCACGAAACGTGTAACAATAACTACGTGATCTTTTATCGATTTTGTTTGTTTATTCATTAATTTTTTTTTTTTTTTTTGGAAAACGCCGATGGATATTTTTTCGTTTTATGAAAGTAAATAGATTGAAAAGGAAAAACGATTTTTAATAATATACATATATGTAGACACACACACACACACACACACACATACACACACTCATATATGTATATTATTCTTCTTTAAACCATTATCTCGCGTACGTTTGCCTTATTCATGCGTAAAACTTAATTGCCAGTGACCTTGCTCACACCGTCCACATTCACCGTGTTTTGGGCACGCACGCGCGCTTTCTTGCGAACTGTTGTTGACGCCGCGTGTCTACAGCGTGCACGACATGCCGAACATTACCGAAAGGATATTATTGTGTATACATAAAGAAAGGATATGGAGAGAGAGAGAGAGAGAGAGAAAGAGAGAGAGAGAAAAAAACAAAACTATTCGATTTATAACCGCCATTGCGCTCTATTTAACGCGTTTACCACGAATTTCATTTGTTTATCATTAACACGCCTATTTGTGCTCGCGCGCACGTGTTTCACTGCTGTTGGTACTGCTACTGCTGCTATTGCCACTGCTGTTGCCGCCGCTGCTCCTGCTGTCCGATCGTACATAGATTTTCACTTTTCATTTTCACAAAGACGGCACGAAAATGGCCGATATCTGAGGTCTGCACGTCGTCGTTATTATTGTTTGCGTGTTATAACCATACAAAAGGGGTACACAATGAAAATAATCCGAACGAATTAGGAAATGCCAACAACAATAACACACGTGCGTGCAATATTTACCTATACCATTTATGTACGTATTATTATGCGTCGTTTATACCGCTGCATCATGTAGGTGCGTAAGTGAAACCCTGCCCAGCGTGTTGTGCAAACACTTCCGGAGACTTTAACGCGATTTTCGTTTTCACCGTTAGATAATACAATATCGCAATAACGAAAAACGTCGCACGTCGTAATGATGTGCCGGCATTGCGTCTACTGTGGGATGCTAATGGCTACAGCGCGTTCGTATAAGACAACGAAACCTGTACGACGTTCCGTGCGGTTAAAATTTTAACGCGGACTTATAACCGTTCGAACGGAAATTAATTCGCTTGAGCGAAATCGCGACGCGTGGTAATTGCGCATCGTGATGTAGTCACTGTTTTAATGTTGTACAGCTATATTACAATCGATTTTCACGAAAGCGCGAATCTACGGTCAAGTCAATTATACATATTGGAGTTGCCTATTTATACACTTTTCAGTGTGTTTTAATGATATATCAACAATATTTAAGTACTTAAAAACGAATCGAAAATATGGTTAAGAGTGGTGATTACATTATAATTTAGTGTTTTTTTTTTTATTTTTATTTCAGTTAGGCAGTGAAATAATATTTTTCGACAACTTTCTACTTTTTTTTTTTTTACATGAATAAATAAATGAAGGATCGATAAGAAATAATGCTATTTTTAAAAAAAAATAGTAGTCCGTTAGATAAGTACACACATATATGTATAATAGGTTCATAAGAAACTATTAAAATCTATATTAGTTCACAAATTAGTTTTATTTATTGTAAACGTTTTAATATAATTGTACGATATTATTGCAAAAGTATAATATATTATACATAGTGAGTACCTAACTATAAATCGTTTATTCTAATCAATAACAAAAGTATTCGTTTTATAAAACCTAAATGTTGTTAAAAACTCATTATAATATTTTGGTGCTTATATTCACCAGGGTTGATTTAAATGTACAAAAAAAATAAAAATAAAATAATTTTCAAGTTAATATTTTTTAAAACAATATTAACATATAAATACATTTCTTAATCAATTTTTAATGAATCGTAACAGTTTCGATTTTTGGTATGCAAAACCATTTATTTTTGTTAACTTGAACTACCTCATTTAAGCTTTTTTTGATATGAATATTTTCCATTATTAAATCTTCTTTAAACATTTTTTCCCAAAAACCAACATATACAAACACAACAGTAGTCAATTATATTTATCAAATTATTGTTTTCCATATTAAATAACGCATATAATATGTTGTACAGTATTACAACATATTCTAAAATTTTCGACTGAAGATTGTTAAACAACTGCCTGTAATCTACCAACCAAAGATGGAACTAGGAATTTTTACGCCCGGGTAAAATGTTAAAATTACGTCCTATCCATAGCCTAATAAACAAATACTCAAATAAATTGTGTTCTTATAATCAATATACAATCGTACTTATTGAGTTTTACCCTAATATCAGTATTTAATGAAGTTAAAAATATCAAATTAGTTGTTAATAATTACGAAAATTACACCCTCTAAAATGTTACGCCTGGGGATAAATCCCCGACTTCCCCCCCCTAGATCCGGCCCTGCTACCAACTATCTAATTTGACCAATAACTGTTTACGATTATTGTAGATCTACTAATTGTTGTATCAATCGATACAGTAAAATTAACTAAACCGTTTAAATCAACATTAGTTTTACACCACGTGTATTGTTTCTTAATCTCACTCTTTTTATCAAGAAAAACTCTCACAACTGTACGTTTCTCCTTACACATTTTTCTAGATTGGCACCGGAGAAACCTTCGAAACCCGACCACTACATAGTGACACAATCCACGGTCACTAGACCACTGGCCATCAACACCCGACCACCATCAGCCACCAGACCACCGCCGGCCAATATCATCACGATGTCTACTAAAGCGCCGTTGCAGCTTGCGACTAAACCAACAATAAGCTCGTTGGTGACGTCCAATTCCATTGAAGAAGGTAAATATTGTTCGCTCTACGACGAAACACGATGTTTTTGCCATGGCACTTACTGCGGCCAAAGATGCGTGAAGGATATCGGTTATATATCGCTAACTTTCAACGTGCACATCTTATGAGGTAATAAATGAATAACCTATAGAACGTTTGAACATGTCCTGTTGTCTTACATCGCGCCGACGGAGTGTAGCGCTATCGCAATGTTGATTGTTATATTCGTTATCACAGTACGATAAATTACTCGTCGTAACAAATTATCCTAAATGCTAACGGTAGCTGTTATTATAATAATTTAATATTGTTCGTCATTAATTTCAATGCCGAACGTCACACTTGTCATACGCCAAATTACGATCTGAGAATACCAGTGATGAACCATATTTCAGCGACAGCTCAGTAAAATGTACTCGTATTATAGTATAGATTAAAATCAGTGGCGACTCGTGTGTACTGAAGAAGGGAGTGTGACGATACGAAAAAGTGTCTGTCTGTTCCTGTACCATTTATTCTTATTATTATCCAAATGCTAGTTTAAAACACACTCGATTAAATAAGACATTCACATAATCGACAATAATACAATTTCTAATCTCATAATCGAAAACCGTAATACAGCAGCTCAGTATTGATAGGTTGATACGCGTGCGGCGCATTCGTACTTATGGCATACGCACACGATAATCCTTGCGATCGCACTCAACAAAATTTATAAAATGATTATTTTGATTATTTGAAAACAACCATTTTAGTATTTTAAATATTAAATTAAAAAAAATTAGCTAATATTAATTTAATAAATTATTAATAGGTATACTATTACGATAAGAATTTATTTTCTTCTTTTAATAAATAGTAGTAGGGGGTGTAATCGTCCCGTCATCTGAGCCACGAGCCGCTACTGATTAAAAAACATTTCTATTACAGCATACGTACACATACATGTACGTAAATTCGATCTCTATGTCTATATAAAAATGTTTGCAAAAATTATATCGCATTTATTTGGTCGGCTTGATAAAACACACGTTGTTAAACGTTTTGTTGGAGCATGACATTAAATTTCCATTGTTCAGATAACTTAATTATAATGTTTCATTTCCGTTGTAAAACACGTATGGATAACGATTCGAATTCTACACGAGTACGCGTGTTTTTGGAAAATCGATGCAGCGGAACCGTGATAACTGAAATTGATTAATAATGTATACATTCAAATTTTGACAAAAGTTAAACATTTAACTGTCGACAATTTGAGACTTTTAAACACTCCATCTTGAATTCAAAAAACTGTAAGATAAACTAAAGGACGTTGTTTCAGAATCATCCTCAAAACATCGACCTTATTATTATTAAATCACGTTTTATCAAAACAATGTTCAGTAAACAAATGTGTACTAGATATCGGCCGTCAATATATTGAATATTCATGCAAATCGGACGTTAAATAAAAATAAGATTTGATCTGGTCGTAAGTCGATGTAAATGTTCATACGAAAGACTTAATGTTTTCGAGAAATTCAGATTAATGGGAAAACGTTTCCTCCAAGCCCTGTATCGAGTTTCAGAGGGTAGTAAACGGTCTATCGAGCTTTTGAAAATCCGACTTCACGCTATCGAAGACGCCCACCATACCGGAAAAAGTCGGAATCGACATATTTACCGTTATATTGCGTCTTTTTGCGTCCGCTCTTTTTTAACATTGCGTGTTGAACGTACGATTTCAAATTTTAGACTGCGGACGACCGGAAGTACCGAAATTCCGGGTGGTCGGAGGAGACGAGGCGTTGCCTGGTCGATGGCCTTGGATGGCCGCTATATTCTTGCATGGTCCACGGAGAACGGAGTTTTGGTGCGGAGGGTCGCTAATCGGGCCCAGACACATCCTGACGGCCGCGCATTGCACCAGAGACAACAGACAAATGCCGTGAGTTTCGTTTGCCAACAGCGTTCAATCGCGAACTACGCTCGTCGGCGGTTCGATTTGTGTTTGTTAATTTATTTTTATTATTATTATTTTTTTTTTTTGTTTCCGTTATCCCCTTCCATCTTACGCAGTTTTAACGCCAGACAGTTTACCGTGAGACTCGGTGACGTGGACCTGCGCAGAGACGACGAGCCCTCGTCCCCCGAAACATATTACGTGACCGAGGTGCGCGGACATCACAAATTCTCCCGGGTGGGCTTCTACAACGACATCGCGATACTCGTGCTAGACAGACCAGTGAAACGGAGTAAGTACGTTATACCGCTGTGTTTGCCGCCAAAAACTTCCAAGTCGGACACGTTCGTCGGCCAGAGTCCAACGGTGGTCGGATGGGGCACCACATACTACGGTAAATATCCGTCCGCCGCCAACGCTTCGGTGTTATTTTAAGATACAAACAATACCGTCGCACGGTTCTAAATGTTATGATGTTGTTTTTGCGCAGGCGGTAAAGAGAGCACGGTACAGAGACAAGTGGATCTGCCCGTGTGGAACAACAACGACTGCGACCGCACCTACTTTCAACCAATCAATGAAGATTTCATTTGCGCGGGGTTGAAAGAAGGAGGGAAAGACGCGTGTCAGGTACGGAGAAAAATACTTTGATTTTCATAAATTTTTTATCCAAGGTTTTCGTTGAATAACGGCGAGAACGCACTCGTGTTATTCCAGGGAGATTCCGGCGGTCCGCTAATGCTTAGAAAAGACGGCCGGTGGATGCAAATCGGTATCGTGTCGTTCGGAAATAAATGTGGAGAACCGGGATATCCGGGCGTCTACACCAGAGTCACTCGATATTTAGATTGGATTAACGATAACATGAATTAAATTATTAATTAAGAGTACTACATAAAAAAAAAAAAAAATTAAAAAAAATTAAATTGAAGTTCTATTGAAAATGCAATTTATAATATTAACGTTATAATATAATGCCTGTACGAAACCAATGTATATGTATTTTTCATAGACATTTACTGAAACGATTATTATACGGCATATACATGTATTTTCGGCTGACGCATTATTAACGTTAACAAAATAAAACTGTTCTATAAAAAACGTTATTTATCGTATTGTAAATAATATATACAAGAATAGAACTGATCATGTTTATGAAGTACTCAATAGCGAAGAAATATTTAATATTTACTATTTATTTATCGAAACGTAACCAAGACTATTAGATGTATAAGTGTAGTCTATAATCTGCATAATATTACGAGTTGTAAAATATTATAAATAAGCGATTGCAATTTAAATATAGTATTTTACCGCGAACATAAAATTACTTGCACTTTTAATCATTTTTATGATTTTTTTTAAAATTGTATTATTCGTATATTGTTGGATAATAATACAACCATTATTATTATTTATACATAATAAATATATTATTGTTATTTATGAGCTGAATTTTGAAATGTGTTTATATTTTGAAATTATTACGCAATGTACCAACTATTTAAAACCATTTAATTTTTCAATGTGTTCCATATGTCAAATAATATACGTATGGTATTGAATGTTTACGTAAACATTTAGATATATCACATATTTTAAATATTGTATACATTTTTAATGTACAAACATAAATAAAATAAATATTATTTTTTGTGCTATTTATTTACATAATTTTCGCTAGTGTAAATGCACTTAGAACCGTATCCTATCTACCGACAAGACAATCAATGAGTTAAAAATGTTTCTTCAACAAGTACATTTTTAAAATTAAATGTTAAAGTATTAACAATACCGTACCTATAGGTACACTATAGTGTAATTAGTACCCGATGCCAAAAATCATTTTTAATGCTCTCATCCCTCTACAAAATAATTTTGAACCTATAACTATAGCTAAGCTTAAACTATAATGAGACTACTTAAGAATATGGTGTTTTACGTAACTACTTATTTTGTATTTATTAAATTAATAAAAGAAATAATCAACGACTAAAGAACAATATAAGTAATATAAATGATTCTTCGACGCCATGTTTTCTCACTCTAGTCTACCTACTTGAACAAGTTACCCAAGTAATAAGTTTCTAGATTTAAATCTATAGTTTACGTTATACTAGACAAAATATGGTTCAATGATCTCACTCTTTCCAGATCTCTCGTAATCAAATTTAATCGATTACGCACTGGTTATCATCTTTTACCATGTTGCTTGCAAATCAAATCTTAATGATTCCCTTCCAATGGTGCAATTATCGGAAGTATTGGGTGTACAATTCACAGAAACCCCCGGTTTTGGGGAGCCTCGAGATCTATTCTGATATTACATTTTTTCCTTACAATATTTCTACTATAATCTGTTATATGCATATATTATGTTGTCTGTCTTAATATAATAACAATAAATAATAATATAAGTTTGGAATTTTCACATGGGCCTTTTATCGTCAAGTTGCGCCGCTGTTCCCTTCTCTGCACACTCCGTTTAGAAAAAAGAAATCTATATTCTATCTTATATTCTCTTTGACTGCCTTTCCTTGCCTACCAAATGCAATATCCTAATTAATTTCTCAATAACCCATTAAATACTTTTAGCATTTTAAATTTCAAAATCTGCTTTCATTTTGATTATTTCCTTCATTCACGAGACTAATTTCTGTATACAATATTTTATTGTTTTAATAATTTTATAAATGATTTATTATTATTAATTTATCATCTCGTCGATTTTGGAGTAAAAATAAATACCAATAAAAAATAAATTAGCAACACCGTTGATCTAGACAATGTGAATGATGTCGACTACGCGCGAGACTATGGCATTAAACGTGTTAAATATTTTGAATTAAATAATATGGTTAACTTTCAATAATTTTAGTTAGATTATGAAAACGCTTTTGGCGCCCCAGTGTGAATGGCACCCGGTGCACACCTCTTGCACCCCTAGGTACGGCCTTGAGTATTAATATTTATTAGAATGTTTTTTTTAACGAGAAACAAAATGTTTTTAAAAAAATGATTGATGTACTACCTAATAATTGATTATGATAACATTAACTATAAGTATATTAAATATTATAATTTGTTGTATACAATTCTCTGTCAATAAAAGTTAATAGTTCAATTTGCGACTAATGTACTCGTTTGAATTTAGCCGGTTTGATTTCTTAAAAGGACAAACATTTTTCAGAAAATACGCCAAAAGAAAAAAAAAATGCGAATTGATAATAACAAACGAGCGCATAATATTTTTCGATAAATGGCTTGTTTTTAATAAAAAATTGTCTTTAAGAACATACTGAAGAGTCTTTAATTCTTCCGATTCAGAGGACGAAAAATACGACTAACTCATATCGCAAAAAAAAAAACAAAAAAAAAAATACATCAAAGTGAAACCTTTCATTGACAGACACTCCCAACTCCGAACCTAAAAAAGTCAAAGCTTTATTTATAATGGTAAACAGATTTTCTCCGCTTTCAAACGATGACACCATGATGGGAAACATCGAAAACGATTCCATTTCCCACAATAATTTAACTCCATCCGATGACCAAAGTTATAAAAGAAAACTTCCACCCCCAATTTATTTCCGTGGTATCCTTGACTTTGTTGAAGTGCGCAATGAATTAATTAAACTAATCGGTACCGACACAATTATTTGTAAATCATCTACAAATGATTTAAAAATCCAAACATCCGACTCTAAGTATTACCGTGAAGTAATCCATTTTTTAAAAGATAGAAAAGCCCAATATCATACGTACCAACCACAGGAGGAAAAGGCCTTCCTAGTAGTGGTACAAAACCTTCACCCATCTACTCCAACAGTTGAATTCGAAATAGCAATCAAAGTAATCGGTTACACTGTCAGGCGAATTTCTAACGTTCTACAAAAAAACATCCAAAAATAAACTACCTATGTTCTTCGTCGACCTAGAGCCAGCCGAAATCAATAAGGACATTTTTGGAGTAACGTCACTACTCCACACAAAAATAAAAATCGAAGAACCACACAAACGTAAAGAAGTCATCCAGTGTCACAACTGTCAAGAATATGGTCACATAAGGAAATACTGCTCATACTCTCCCAGATGCATCCGCTGTGGAGGTCACTATCCTTCCTCTAGTTGCAATAAATCTTACGAGTCTCCTGCCAAGTGTGCCCTGTGTGAGGGTGACCATCCAGCAAACTACAAGGGATATTACATTTATAAGGACATCTAACGATTTCGCAAACCAAACTCTAACAATCATATTTCCCAAAACAACGTCATTAAAGGTCGTAACAGTCTAAATATTAGTAATTGTAAAGTCCCCTAGCAGAAAACACCCGACACTAACTCACCCCCTCGTACCTATACCCACGCAACATAGGGCTACATTCCCAACACAGAATCTAATGATAACTCACTGACAAATTTTCTATTCTATTTTTTCTAACTATTATTATAATATTTTAATCGTATTCCAATTGAATTCGTTCATTTAAATTTCACTTTGACTTGTGTAGTATGAAATGAACGATCAATTCATAGAAATATTTCTTCATCAATTACTAGAACTAAGTCAAATGTAGGACACAATGTATAGAATTCTTAGAATGTTTTGATTAATAATATATATATATATATAAATAATGATTCAAACTTTGCTCTTTGTTTTCTTAAGTTGGCCACATTGAAATATATAAAAGAACTTTAAGCCTTTAAACCACTATTGTAAAATAAAGAATAATAACAACAGTGAAAAAGGTTATAAAGCATTCATTGTTCGATAGGTTAGATTTCGATAAATCATCTTTAATAAAACTCAATATATATTTTACGTTTCAACTGTTACTTATATTTTGCTATTTCTACATCACACTTCTTGGTCACCTTTACGAATTTTTTTATTTTACTCTTCCTGTGCAGAAAAAATACATTAACTCAAATGGCATCGAATAATCAATTCGTGACATTTAATAATGGTGAAAAGTATCCAATTTTAGGACTTGGAACATGGAAGGTAAATACGATTATTATTTATTATTATCCATCTGTAGACATCTTTTACTATCAGAAGTGTAGCATTGTTCTGACTTTTGGGGGTGTCATGGTCGAATAGATTAGTGTTTAAATGCATAGCCATTGTTTCGAAATAAATCGCCGGCGGTTTCGGTTTAACAACTACAGTTCTGAGATAAGAAACCATCATCAGTCCACCACCCAGATATTTCAATATTTGTTTTCCTTTTGTATATCTACCACACGATATATTAAGTAAATGGGATAGTAACTTTGTTTGTCGAAGTTCTCTTAAAAAAAAAAAAAAAAATTAAATTAATCAAATTAAAATTTTAGCATTTTGGCAATTTAATATCAAACTTTTTTTTTATTATAATCAAATTACATAATATAATAAGTGATAACACAGGCTGAATAAATTGGCTTCATCCGAATTACATGCTATCTTTAAGAGTGGTCTGTTCGAATAGTATACCACAACTTAAAGGGATATAATGTCTAACCACAAGTTTATTTACTATACATTTATGTGCACAACTTAAACTTTATTTTGACTTAAACTCTTTATGATATGATAGTTACAACTAATTAGTTTCTAGATTGAAATATTTTTTATATTCTAGGAAAAATGTCCATAAATCAATATTTACATTTTATTTTATTTTTATAAACTACTGAACTATTATTTTTATTATTGTATATTGTTATATAAACGTTATAGAAATATAAAACAATCTCAATCGATTAAATTCATACGAGTAAATATTGAGCATTTTTAAAATACAAGTACTAATATTTAAAACAGATATTTGTATAGGTAAACAATAATAAGACAAAAATAAGAAAGGCGTTTAAAATAAAGTTAACATTTTATTAAACTGACTAGTACATCAAGAAAATACAATAACTCTTGAATATTTGATTGTATTTATTAGTAAATAACAATATAATATTGAAGTAAATAAATGTTTCTGTTTAATTATAGAAAATATCAATATACATTCACAACGTTTAAAGTAATTGCCAAAAATGATTAATACGTAAATACATTTTTTACACTTGATATTATTTAAATTAAGTACATTGTTAAACTGATTCGAAAAATTCATTATTTTTTTTTTTTTTTTATAACTAAAAAATACATTGTTATATTTGTTATATATAATTTAATTTATTTTAAAACACGGCACAGTGGTCAAAAAATTAAAAAAAAAGGAAAAAATGTTGAAAATGATTATTGGAATTAACTATTTTTAAAAGTTGATTTGTATTCTATATGAGAATGAACATTTAATCTAATAGCTATTAGTTTAATAGAACCACTTTTAGTGAAGATAATACATCGCTTAATGTTTGCGATAACAAGATATAGTATTTTTCGTACACTCACAAAACTCTAAGTACTCATTTCTTCCCGACATTTGTTCGAAGATATTTAATATTTAATCGACATATTTGGTACCAGTGGAAAGCTTATAAGGTAAGGAAAATAAATTTACTAAAATTTATATTTTTATTTACCTAGAACATATTATTTTAATTAGTTAAATTATATTTAAAATACGTTTTTATTGTACATAAAAATCTAAAATAGTCGTAGTTTTTAAAAAAAGTAGCGTGAAGTAGTGTGAGAGCGTAGGTTAAGTATAATTCTATAATTTGTCCTAAATAAGATTTCATAATTTCCAGCTGCCCGTATTTGCCCAATTTTTTATAAATAATTTTTGTTTAGAATTTGTTGAATGAAATGGAGTCAAAATTAACACACCGAGATTTATACTTCAAAATATTAGATTTAAAATCTAACAAAAATTATAAAGTTGAGGCCCTCTATGATTTTGTTCTATGTAAAGTGGATTATGTGAAAGAGCAATCTGAAAATTATCAAAGTGATTTGAAAAAAAAATTGCATATTTTTATGAACGAATTTGATAAACGATGGCAGAAATGCAATAGAACGAAAAATCGGTTTGACACAATTTTTGAAACGTGGCTAAACAAAAAATTTATTTTTTCTGAAGTTTCAAAAAGTTTACCAATGTTCCACGTAGGACGACCAAAGGTGCTTTTTTCTAAAGCGTGTGACAAGACAAAAAGGCATAAAACCCAGACATTGCGTACGTCGAACTCAACAGAAGAACTTGTTTATGCGGCACAGTTAAGTTTAAAAGAAACCGGAAATGTCGATGCTGCTAAATTATTAAAAGAAGCGACGTCTACTACTCCTACTCGTGCTTTGAACATTCAAAGGGCGTATACTGCATTTCAAAATGTTAAACCAGTTCAAATGTATTCTGAAGAAGATGCATTGGCATTAATTATAGATGCTAAACTCACCAAATCACAGTACACATTAATACGATTACAGGCAAAACAGAGAAATGCAAATATATATCCTGCATACAATAAAATACTCGAAGCGAAGTCCCAATGTTATCCCAAAAAAGACCAAGTATTAATTACAGAAATATCTGCGGAAGCAACTCTGCAATCGTTATTGAACCATACTGTACAACGAATATTTCAGTCTATTGAAAATTTATCAGCATACGAATTTAAAAATAATACAGTTGTTTTGCTTAGTAAGTGGGGATTGGACGGGTCATCAGGGCTGGCCCAATATAAACAAAAATTTAATGATGTCCAGAGTGCGAGTGATAGCAATATTTTTTTGACGTCTTTCGTTCCAATTCAAATTATTATGTATTCAGGTGAATCAAAAGAGGTATTAAAAGAATTTATTTGGAAAAATCCAAGAACATCTTCAACCAAATACTGCCGACCAATTCATATACAATTTCAAAAAGAAACGACCGAATTGATACAAAACGAAGTATCAAATATATCGAATCAAATTCAAAACTTGGTATCTTCAATAGTTAATTTGGGAAATGACGATTTTGTATCAGTAAAACATGAGCTTGTGTTAACTATGATCGATGGAAAAGTATGTAATGCTATATCAGATAATAAGTCGGCACAAAAATGTTATATATGTGGTGCAGGGCCAAAAGATATGAACAATTTAAATACGATAAAACAACGTCCAATTGATCCATCAACACTTTCATTTGGTTTATCATCCTTGCATGCTTGGATAAGGTTTTTTGAATGCCTCATTCATGTTGCGTATCGATTAGGTTTTAAAAAATGGCAAGCATGGGGAGATGACCAAGAAATGTTAAAGAAAAAGAAAAAGGAAATACAAACTAAGTTTAGACAAGAATTGGGTCTGTTGATTGATCAACCTCGTCCTGGAGGAAGTGGCACGACTAATGATGGTAACACGGCCAGACGATTTTTTTCTAATCCAGACGTATCATCTTCTATAACCGGTGTTGATAAAAATATCATAGTACGATTCAAAGTTATACTTGAAGTTATATCATCAGGTAAAAAAATTAAAGGTAATATAAAACAAAATAATGTCATTTAAAATAGTATCTTAGGTATTCTACTAGCTTAATAAAATAATTAATAAATAGGTAATGAATGCATAACCATTTAAAAAATATTAGTTTTCTTTATATTATTTTAGGAGTTGAATTCAATAATTATGCATTTGAGACAGCTCAATTATTCATTAGTAAATATCCATGGTTTTATCTACCAGCATCCGTTCACAAAATTTTGATTCACGGAACACAAATTGTTGAAAATGCCATATTGCCAATCGGTTTATTATCAGAAGAAGCACAGGAAGCTAGGAATAAGGATATGAAGAGGTTTAGGGAAAATAACACAGGAAAAATATCCAGAAAACATACAATGGAAGATTTATTTAATAACTTGCTCATTTCATCAGATCCACTTATTTCGAGTAGAAGAAAAAATTAGCAATAAAAAATCAACCACATTATGCGATGAAGCAAAACTGCTTGTATGTATTGTAGGAGAAAATAAAGAGGATTTTTACATTAATGAGGAAAATAGTGAAGACGAATTTATGGAGTACGAATAATTAAATTGAAAACAACTAGCATATTGTGAACATTTGTATATTAAAACGTAGACTAATATATAAAAAACTAATTCGTAATTAATTTACTGTAAATAACAATGAAATAAAATATTAAATACTTTTTATTATTTGCTTAAATCAAAATATAATAAAAATCACCATGAAAATATTTTTTTCCAACTTTTTTTTTTTATGGACCACTGTGCACGGCAATAGTATTAACTCATAGTAATAATATTATTTATAATATTTACTAAAATATTGAATTCGCTGACTGTTTGATTTGCGTTAAAAAATTCAAAACATCGAACTCCAAGCAGTACACTCTATCCATGCTCGATAATTAATAATCATAATACATACACATTGCCGTTAACAGTAAACATAAGAAATTTATAATTCTTTGCGTTCTGTTTATATTGTTATATTATTTCTTTTGTAGTCGGTTTTCATTCATCATATTTTGATTGCATCGTGTGTCAACAACACTACCGTGTACCTACGTAACTGTTATATACGTTTACGACACTTTGGACGAGTTAAAATATGAGTACCGATAGAATATTATTACAATGCACAACAGAACAATATAAGAATGTGTATGTATTGTGCGTAGAACATTAATCTTATGAGCCAAAATAGTTCATGTACTTCCTACTTTAGCGAATAAAATATTGAAATATCGGTTTAATTGTTGAATTGAACTATGATTTTAATTTAATATGGTATAACTGGCTAGAATTTCCAAAAAAATTTAACCTTTTCAGACCCCAAGGTCACTGTAGTGTACCTTATTTTCAATAATTCATTACGTAGCATCTTGTTAATAGATTAGTTTGAACAAGCGATAACGTTATTTTAGTATACATATAATCCGGTAAAAACCCGATTAAAATAGTATTAGAAAGAATAACAACCGATAAAAATGATAGTTTTAACTTAATTATAGATATAATATCGATAATTAAATTTCTACAATGATTTATTGCTTATCTGTTATATTGCACTTGATATGGTCAACGGTTTTTTTTTTCCTGATA